CTCATCAAATTTCTCTCTGCATCTCCTCCTAATTCTAGCATGGTTATATGTCCTTATCACTGTGCCCATAAATACCCTTCTGTCACAACCCTAAATGTAAATCAAGAAAATTGCATTATAAAGTAATACTACCTGAGTTGATGCACCATCTTTTCCTCCAATAAGCTGTGTGAATTTGGAATGTTACTTCATTTTCTGTGCATCTATGTTCTCATCTATACAACAAGAAAAATAAAAGTATAAATGTTCTGAGGGTGAAATAAGATAGTACTCTAAAAGTGATGAGAAAAACATTAGGCTCAAAGAAAATGTTCAATAAACGTTAATGATGAGTAGCAATGCTCTTTAATATGAAATGCTAGTGAAAACAGTGAAATAGCATAGCTTAAAAAGTTATATCAAAGTAAGGGGGGTATTTATACCTTCAATGTATACTATTTAACTAATCTTACTATTAATTAACTAATTATTAGATGTAATGTTTCCAGTTTTAAATTACATTGAAGCTCTGATTTACATGTAAGACTGTGTCACAGTGCTCAAAGTAATATGTTATTTCTCTGTTCATTTTTTAATCCAACTTTGATAGTTAACTCTTTTTGTTTCAAGAATAATATGTTCTAATTATGACAGAATATGGAGTGCTGACATCTATTATGGTTTTTATTGAGATATTAGGCACTAAGAACAAACAGAGAGGCTCATTACTTCATAACCTATATAACAATGCTGGTTTTTGAAATTAGATCAAACTCAAAAAGTAGTTTAGCTGAAAAAGAGCATGTCTCCAAAAAATGCTTTTTTGTTTGTTTGTTCTAATGGCTGAGGATGTAGCTCAGTGCAAAGGCCTAAAGTTCAATATCTTGTAGCTAAAACTGTATCATTTCTCATTGTGACATGTTATTAAACTCCTTCTAGATCTGTAACTATTTGATAATCATTAAGATCTCTAAAAACCTCAGGACTTTCTCTAGTTTAGATCTTGGAAATCTTCTGATGATAGATATGTTGGTAAGTCTCTTAATTTAAACAATTTCTTGAAGTAAGACCTCTTAAATCTAGGGACTTTATAAATATTTCTCTAATTGTTAGGCGCCATCCTAACAAAACTGCAACCAATTTAACATTTTGGACACAGTTTTTGTAGAGTAAGACTGTATTCTTTTGAGATATATATAAATAATGTACAATGAGGATGTGAGAATTATACATATTTTAATTCTGATGACTCAACCATAACACTTTTAAGGTGTCTCTCATTAAAATAACAATGAGATGTCATTTAAACTTTTAAAAAAGTGTTTATTATTATAGAATCAACTTTAGGAAGTATTACAAAGAAGAAATATAATGTTATTCATGGGTCCTATTAGAATTTTGGGCCAGTTTCTAATTTGTTTGGGTTCTGTTTTCTAGTGAGTATAATGAATTTAGATACAAGTTAAATGAAATAATGCAATAAAGCATTTTTATACATAACAGTGAAAAAAAATGTTTCTGAATCTGAAGAAACAAATGCAAAGGCTATCCAGAGTGTCTGAGTGTTTTGGAACAAAGTACAACTTTAGAGAATATACATCAAGGCTTTGCTCTAGTTGTATCTTCATAGTCCTTATTGATACCTTTTTCTATAAAAATTTGTTACAGCTCTTGGTTAATAAATGTATTTATTAAGGATTAAATCTAGAATGTTTCCCCAAATGCTTGTGTATTCAGAGGTGGGATTTTTAGAATGTGATTGGGTCATATTACTATACTCATCAATGAATTAATTCATTGAGGCATTCAAATCTGAATGTGATCATATGGGGTAGTTGATGGAAGAAGCAGGTCACTGATGGTATCACCTAGAATGGCACATCTCCCTCCTCAGCCCCAACCCACTTTCTGCTTCTTCGCCATTATGACTTGGGTAGCTTTTCATCTGCCACATCCTTTCTCCTTTGGACCTTGCCACCCATGGACTGAAAGCATGAGCCAAAATAAACCGCCCTTCCTTTAAACTGTGAGTGTCAGGTATTGTGCCCAGTGATGGGAAAGTGGCAAAGACAATATCCTTCATTGTTTACTACATATGTCAAAATTAAAAAATGATATTTTCAATAATGCGCTCAGCATGGTTTTACCTTTACACTCTAGGAACATATAAATTCTAGTACTGTGCTTCATAGGAAAACATGTATCAAAATTACTTTTGGCCAACATACAATGGCTATTAGTAAACTGTTCTACTAAGCTATCTTCAAAATGTAAGGATTTAATATTTTAGGTAACTTACTGAATTTTCTTATCAAAATGTCTTCATATTCCCAATTAAGCCTCATAAGTTTTCTTTCTGAAAATACTTCAGTTGTCAAATCTGCATATAGTAATTATTGCCCTTAAAATTTTACAGGCCACAGTTATCTTTCTGGTTTTTAAAGCATTTGAATAGATTGGAGTTGCTTTTAAGAAAAGTTGGAATATGACAATGACTACCCTTGTATTATCACACAAGTGTGTTACATGTGTTTTCTGTCCCTTATTCCATTGCGTGCAAAAATTTCCAACTACTCAGGCTCACCTAGCCTCAGGCTCACTCTCAGAGAGGAGGAAACTAATAAAAGGAAACTAATAAAAGGAAATATGTTAGAAATTACCTACCATGCTTATGCAAGAATGTATGTAGTTGAGGACACAAATTGTTTGTTTTACTTTTGTTTTCCCAACAAAAATGTCTATTGGATGTTAACTAAAGAATAGGAGCCAATTTCCATTGAAGAAAAAAAGCTTAGCAAAAGCATTTTCATTTTGACTCTAAAAGGAGAAAAATCAATAAAGACATAAAAATATTTTGAAGATAACAAGAAGCATTATGGTAGCCATTATTGATTTCCTTTTATCTTGTTTTGAAGTCCTGTACTACTTTCACTGTTTTGTTTTGACTCTATTTTTTTATTTCATTTGTCTGTATTCTCTTCAAAATAAAAAAGAGATGTGAAGCTATTTGAAAATATCTAAATTTTTGTGTTCTTTTGTGGATCTAATCTAGGACACACACTCATTATCTCAAAAGAAAGGGTGTATGAGTATGAGCCATTGTAAACAATGCATCCTTAACCCATGAAATCAGATGGAAGAGCTCATGACCAGATGTCTTTCTCTATTTGGTGTTGCTTTTCCTAAAACAGTTTAAATCAGCAAGAAGTTTTCCAGAAGTTAGTTTGAGTCACCCAAACTTCCAAAAATAAATAAATAAACATGTTTTGTCCCTGTAGTTTCCAACCTTATTAATAGTATTGATTTAAAGGCATCATTCTTAAAGTACCCCAGTTTCTCCATAAAGCCTGTCTAACCAGTCTCTTGTGGACGCCCACATTCAGCTATAGAATCCTAAATGGTATTCAGGCCAGTTACACGTCAATGCATTTTTAATTACCAAAGCTAATAGCATGCACTTTAATTATACCCTAATAAATCATTACAGTCAGTTTCTCTCCAGAATCACATATTGCAGTCAGTTTCTCTCCAGATTGGAAATCACTCATTAAAATGTACTTGTGGACACTGGAGCTCTGGCAAGCTAGGACAGAACTTCTGAGAACATTGAACATTCCAAAAAAGGTAATCAGACTGAAACATAGGAGCAGTTTACATGGGACTTGGTTGGTCATTTCTATCTTGATTTTATCTTCATAATCACATGGAGATTTCTACAAGAGTATCACTTTCTTTGTACATTAAGCTTAATGATTGCTTCAGATTATAAAGGAGCCCCACCACCTGCAAAGGAGAGGGGCTTATCCAGGAGCTGCTGTGGATGTGGATACATTTCTCTGCCAGTAAGTGTTTAATGACTCATTTTATCAACAGAATTTTCATAAGGCTGGGATTTAGGGAGGGATGTCTGGAGAATGTTGGAAAGGAAATTCTTAAACCGCTGTCCTGATTTGTGCTGGAAAAAGCTCCCCATGTTAGCCAGTCCAATTGACTAAAGCAAACTAGCAAGAGATTTCAGCACGATTTCTTTATTAACTTTCATGGATAGTCCACGAGAGCTCACCATAAAGTTTGCTTTAGTCACATTGAGATTATAAACTTCCAAAGAAGAAAAAAAAATAACAGAAAAACTAAAGACACACTGAATTAACAGCTGTGTTCACGAGGAATCAGAGAAGCTGTCCAAGTGAATTACATTGAACCAGAAGAGTATTCTAAGAAACTGGTACACATTTTTTTTTTTAATCCAGTCAACCGTTTTACTGATCTGTCAAGTTGACCGATTGTTTTGGAATCAAGCAGATTTTACCAAAAATGAATTTGTACATATTCAGATGCTTTTTAAAATTTTTAAAAAGTCTTTGTAGTCAGTAAATGTTCATCTTTCTGAGAAGATATTCTGAGAGGAAAGCAGAAATATCACTGTTGCAGAGCCATTTCCATTCTCCCAAAGGTCTGCTGGTAAATTATTCTTACTGATCTTTCCATCCTTCTAGCCTGTGCAAACACACCTAACCCATACTAAATTCCACCAGATGGCATTTTATTTCTTTTAAAGTAAAGCAGCCATGGATTTAGACAGTTGAATTTTTAAACTTCTGTATTTACTGAAAGTGCATATGGTGCTATATGGACAAAGAAATTGTGCTGAAAGAAAAACATTTCTGTCTGCAGTACCTCAGAATCTCTCATGAGAAAGAAAAGTGCAGTTACATGGTGTACTCACAAAACTGTATGTGAGTTCAATGTTCTATCTCTGCTAAAATTTATATACATGTATAATGTGTATATCAGGAAGTTTTATTATTTTAAATTCATCTGTCAGTTGTAAACAGAAAGGTTATACAAAACTTAATGACTTACCAAAGTGATCCATGAGTGATTTCTAGAAGAAAATGAAACATAAACCTAACTGTAAAAAAAAAAAAAAAAACAACTTTGTATGTCAATGTAAACAGATGTTGGTGTAGAATTTACAAGGATGAGAAGGCTATAAAACTTCCCTTGAACTACTCATAGTTCATTTCAAGGCCAAGCACGCCCCCAAAATCTGTTTCTAATTTTACAGAAATCTTTTGAAATTTGGCACGGTATTCAAAAGTCCGTGAAAAGAAAAAAACTTGTCCTGACTTCAGCTTCCAATGAAGACAGACTTCCTTCAACGGTTTTCGCAGATCCAGTGAGCCACGCTCTGCAGGAAGAATTAGCTAACTTCCCAAACATCTGGAAAAATGAAGGTTAGTAAATAGAGCCTCAGGTATTACCAGAGAATGAAAGTTGGCTGGATTGAACGTGACAAAGTTTTCTATTGTTAGAAGGCGAAGGCTTTGTACTGAATTCTTACTTCCTGGAGTGGGTCAGGATGGAGAAATGGTTCTAAATATACTGTAGAAACATTTATCTTGGCAGGGCTGGAAGAAATCCAGCGATTATTACCAGATCAGTGAAAGACAATTAAAAGGTTTGTGGGAAGGAGAACTAGGAGTTAAGAATAACCAAAACTTGCCATTTCTACTGTTTAGCAGCAACTATAAAATGCCTAATTTTCTTTATTTTATATAGACATGGTTAAAGATTGTATTTGGAATCACTACTTCTGCTCTACTGGCTTTATTGATGGTGTGCATTGTCTTAAATCCTTCCAGAGGTAAGAAATTTATCTAATTTGTTCAATCTGCCTGAAATAGCTTGGAAAATGCACTAACATGTGATCACAAGTTGTTGAACATTTCCTAAGCGCTTTGCAAAGAAGGAAGTTATTTGTAAAAAGACATATAAGCCCACAGATATGTTATTGCACAAGACCAGAAAAACTGAAAGATTGAAATGAAGGGTGGAAAGGAATTTAGTGTTTTTTCAACAGTAGAAAAGCCTAGGAACTATGCTGCATCCAAACTTATATGATAAATACAACGTATGACATAGAATTTAAAGTTTTACACACAATATTTTAAACTAGAATTGTTTTTCATTATTAGATGTGCCTTTGGAAAGTAAAAATGAGTAAGAATAAAAAGTTTAAATAAGCTAGAAGTGCTTTTTCTTTTTCTTTTTCTCCTAAATCATCCTTCTAAAATTTAAGGAAGAAGTCAAGATCAGAGATCTCAGGAATCCTTTATAAAAAAAATGAAATCCTTGTTCTAGATGCATTTCAGCAAATAGAAGATTAAGTGATCAATGTTTTTTTTTATAAAATTCAGGCATTAATTTTATCTCACTTTGCTAAAAACTGGAAGACATTAAGGATTGATATTGAGGCTGGTCTTAATTAAGACTCATTCTATAGATAATATTGCAGTATTAAGGAAATTGTTCCCTTCTATGAAAATGTTTATAAAGAGAAAATCTTCTGAAACAATATCTTGTGCCTTAAGGTCTAGGAAAAGGGAAAAGTATGTACCAATGTATAGTAAAGTTTATGGCAACCAATGTGGAAGATATCTTTGATAAAAAGATAACTGTTATAAAGATGGTCAAGAGAAGACTTTCCACCAAAGAATGTATGAGGTCTGCATGATGTGTTGCTTTAAAAAAATTAAACACAAAAACCTTGAAAAATTCAAAATGCTTATGAGATTTTTATAGAAATAGAAAGTGGATATACATTAGCAAGACAAAAGCACTGTTCTTGTATCTGCAGTTTAATTTTCAGTCTGAGTTCTTACTCCCTGATAGCACAAGATTGTTCTCAAGCTACTGAGATATGTGTATTGTGTGTCCATATGTTTTTAAAAAAATTCATTTAAAATTCTTTTTAACCAGTCTTGTATCTCAACAGTCTTGGGGCTACATTTCCTCTGTACTGGCAGTTGACCCTTTAAATATTAATCCACTAAAAATTACTCCCCTAGCTTTAATGACAGTCTTCCAGTTTTCACTTTTTTTTTATACAGGATTTCTGAGGTCTCTGATCTTGACTTCTTACTTTAATGAAAGGTAGCAAGATGAAAAATTTATCCTGTGCACCCTGAGAAATAAGTGTTCTTAGAGCAAAGTGTAGATCTTAGTGGGAGTTTGCCTTCATGTCCATATGGAATGTTGTTCTACACTTGAGAATCTGAACTGTGCTTTCTAAGTACACCAATTTACCCATTAAAATACTATATAAGTATGCATACATGTAGACATATGTAATCACATATGATACCAGTCTTTCACATATGATACTATTCCAGTGCTCACATGTGTATAGGATGTCATAAATATGTATATACTATACAATGTGGGGTTGAAAATATGGCAAAAATTTATTATAGTAAAAGACAATTGCCATTACTTTCCCTCAAAATGCTCCCCTCTTGCTTCTGGCACCTTTATCCCATCATTTTGCCACTTTCTGAAGTTCTGAAAGTTCTGTTTAGTTGCCCTGTCATGGCGGCCTCAATATCCTGATTGATGCTAAACATTCATGTTTCATGCTCAGTTTGAGTTTAAAGAGCCAGATGTCACACAGTGCAGATCCTGTGATTACAGACAAACCGTAATGTTTTTATAAGCCTGCCTTTCTATTAGATGGCACTCAGCAGTAGTATTCACTATACTTTTTATCACACTTCATAAAGACATGGAAAATGACACCCAGAACTGCTTTAGAAAGGGTCAAGAATGATGGGATGAATTTAATGTAGGTTGGGGTGTTTAAGGATTAATAATGATACTGTTTCTTATTATAATATTTAAAAAATTTAAACATTCACTGTATATCTTGATCATATCATGTATTGTATAAAGATCCTATATCTTTTATAACATAGTTTGCTGTTTTCAACTGACAGGATAATTCTCAAAGTCATTTCCTCACAGGGTAAAATAATCAAATTAGGCAACACAAAATTTTAGTACTCATTCAAAAATAGAAAAATCACGAATAAACTGAGAACTATGTATTTAGTCTATGATGTCACTCTCTTTTTATTCCAAATTTTCTGGAGAACTTCTTTAAATGTCTAAATAGCTTGTGAATGGGACTAGCCACTCCCCTACCTTCCTGAGCAGAGCTGGGGGGGGGGGGGAAATTCTCTTTTTTCTGGCCTTAGCACTGCAGCCAACCTTATGTTGGCCATAATGGTCCCTCCCTGCTGAACTCATCCTGCATCTCAAGCAGTCTAGCTTGGATGAGAGGTTCAGTCCTTACTCTCACATTTGCCCAGTGCAGGGTGAATGCAGGATTTTGGATGGCAAGGCAGAAAAATGAGTTAGGAAAGAAAAACAGAAGCAGAGAACTGGAAGCCAGTAAGTTCCTATTTAGGCTTTTCTCACACTTCATTACCTCACATTTGCCTGAGGTGCCCTTATTTTCTCAGCTAAGGGCTTGTGTGCCAATTTAAGGACAGTCTGCAGCAACTTGAAGGCATATTTAAGAAACTTCCATTCATTGAAGTATAGTAACACACTGAGTCCCAATAACCACGTACCCATTATGGTACCAGCGGCTGGGTTTCAAAGGCTCAGCAGTCTAGATTCCCCCCTAACGATGAGGGGGGACATTGTACACTCAAAGATCGATGGTTACCAGATTAGGACTTCTGTCATTTTATGTAGTTCTGACAGAAAGAAAAGAGAGAAGAGCTTTTCTGTGAAGGGTCCCCAGAGAACCAGGATCAGGATTAGAAAAGCTTTGGAGGAATTAGATTGGACCTCAGGAATAGATGGGAATGTGTGGTATGGAATGAAAAAGATCCTTTTAGCTCATTTACATAATAAAACACATAAGGAACAAATTTTTAAAAGTACCGAAGTGTACCATTTTATTTTTGGCAAAATAGATAACACAGATAAGCTTCTACCCCTTTATCTCAGGCGTCCACCTTGGCTTCAGCCTACCCTGCTTGCAATTGATTCTCTTTATTCTCTTACCTCCCTTCATTTTATTTTTGAGGTTCTTCTTCCTAAGCATCACCCCTCTTTCTATGGAAGGATGCAACCAGGCCAAAAGCAAAATTAATCTCTCCAGAGTCTCTTGATGTGTGTTGAACACTAAGGAGAACACACAGACCTTTTTGCTTCAAGAGATTTACACCAGTGACCAAATAAAAAAACTGGAATTGAAATTTTTCAGAAGCTCCAGAATATTTCATGTAAATTCCACATACTTTTTCTTGGTTCTTAATTTACAGTCTCTGAATTTCTGGAAGTTTGTAGAAGGCACTATCTGATGGCGATGAGCAAACATTCAATCAATATTAGCTACTATCTTCTTCTAAACTGTTTAACAAGTTATAGTTACCTAATGAATAGTAGTAGTAGACGTCTATTGTGTTCAATACCCTAATATACATGTGCATGTACATTCAGAGAAGGTGAGTAAATCCTTCTGTTTGCTGTATTTCAGTTTTTAAAATGCTAGTTTCCCTTACTTAATTGAAAAGAAAAGTGTGATAATTTGTTTGGACAAGATATGCCTATATCTTGTACTCTGAACACTATCAAGATAACTATGCAATGTATTAATTATTGTAACTCTCCTAATATTTTGAAACTCTATTTTATTGCTATTTTTTTCTCTTTAAAATTAAAGATAATGTTTCCCTAATTCTGAGAGTAGGAAATCTTTATTCCTGAGTCTATTCCCTGTTTGGACCAAATCCAGCAGATACTGCAGACACTGATATGTGGTGCTCTTAGGAAAAAGACAGATGCCTGAGACAGTTGAAGGAAGGATGGAAGTGGAGGATGGAGGGAGCATTGTGCAGAGTGAAGGAGTTGGTGGCATCTCACGTTCTGGGAGTGCCTCTGTGTCCTCAGTGACAAGTGAGCCGCTACAAACCAGCGAGGCCGGTGCAGACCTCCCTGAAACCTTCTTGCCTACTTTTACACTCTTTCCTTCTGTTTTATTTTGATTGATTGATTGACTGACTTTGGCCTGAGTTTTTCAGTATACATATTAGTACTGGTTTATAGTTTTAAAAATTCATATTTCACCTAAAATGTTAGATTTCAGGCTTCTTTTTAAATGTTTAGGTATTTATTACAGCAGGGGTTTATTCATCCGTACCAAGTTTTCTATTGGCACAGTACTCTACCATAGGTGACTTGAATGACAGGAATATATATTTTTGTCAGTGCTGTATGGTAGAAACTCAAAATCAAGATTTCAACTGATTTTTAATTCCAGAGTTTTCTCTCCTTGGGCTGCACACACCTGTGTCCTCAGGCTACACTTTATGCATCTATGTTTATCTCTAGTGTCATCTCTTCTCTAAGGACAGTGGTTCTATGGGATTAGGGTCCTAGGTTTATGAACTCATTTAACTAACTCCTTAAAGACTTTGCTTCCAAATATAGTTACGTGAAGGGTTAGGGCTCCAGCCTACGATGTTGGTGAGAGGGATGCAATTCAGTCTGTAACCAGGATGCTCAACGAAGGGATGGTGATTGAACATGAACCTTAAGGACTAGAAAAATAAAACAGCTGGGGAAGAAAGCATTGGTCTGGAGGGAAACAAATCCTTTGAAGCAGGAAGAAATTCTAGAAGCCAAAGAGAGACTGATAGAACTGTGGAGTCAAAATTATTGAAACAAATAAGCTAGCAAAATTATATATACATATATATTAATAACTACGTACACATATATATGTATACATGTACACAATGTACACATGAAATGGGTAGTGGTTTCTCACTTAGTTAAGTAATGCCTTTTATG